AAACCCCTCCTCACCCCCCAAATCTGACTCCTGCCCCCCCCCCACACACACCCAGCCCTGACTCCTGCATCCTCCCCCCCCTCCCCCTGCCCTGAGCTCCCCCGCTAACTCCACCCCACACCCACAGGTACTGTTGTATCATAACCCCCCTCCAGTCTGCTGCTCTGAGCCCTGCGGGGGAGGCAGGAATACAATAGCAGCTCTAAGAAATGTAAGCAACTTTCACCCCGTAGTGTTCCCTGTAAGCTGAGCGCGCCCTGACTCCTGCATCCTCCCCCCCCTCCCCCTGCCCTGAGCTCCCCCGCTAACTCCACCCCACACCCACAGGTACTGTTGTATCATAACCCCCCTCCAGTCTGCTGCTCTGAGCCCTGCGGGGGAGGCAGGAATACAATAGCAGCTCTAAGAAATGTAAGCAACTTTCACCCCGTAGTGTTCCCTGTAAGCTGAGCGCTTAGGCGGCCACCCAGGAGATTCAGGTGCTGCCCAACTCATTGGCAGAGCACACACAGCCAGAAGCGTGTGTTTCTACTGGTGGTGCACATCCACACATGCTTTGGTGCATGCAACAAAATTTATTCTGCGCACAGATGGAACAAAAATTACAGGGAACTTTGCCCCTGGGGTCTGTTTTTTTCAGTGATGTTCAGCTTCAACAGGGCCTGTTGCCACCCAGGGAAAATGTGGGGTGATGAGGTGCAATGAGAATCCGGCCTTTCATGGACAGGCGTAGGCTGGGGCCAGGTTTCATCCGGGGGCAGTAGGCCAAATCCTTAGGAGACAAAAATCATCTTTGCTCCACTGACACCCGCTGGGAATCTGACACATGTTACTAAGCCTGGAGCCAAGGAAGGAGCCACGAGCACAAAGTCAGACAGTTCTGGTAGGTCCTACCAAAACAGACTGCCCCAGCCGAGTGCAGTACAAATGCCTAGCAATGATTAGATAGCTAGAGAGATCAGATTATAACCCGCTAAGGTAGGTCACATTCCGGGGCTTAACGGACTTGGCAGCCATCACAATGCGCATTCCCCACTGTAATACCCAACCCCACAGCCCCAGCCCGGCCCCTCGGCTCAGCAGGGAGAGAGGGAGCCAACAGCTTCTCCAAGCAGGCGCCGGATGGCGATCGAGGGGGTCGCTTTAATCATGTGGGGATTAGGAGACTCGGCCCTTGGGGTCGAATGTCCCATCAGATCTCCAGCCGCCCTCCGGGCAATTTGAAATGACAGACGCAGCTAGATTCCCTCCCCCCTTGGATGTCATGCTCGCAAACCGAAAGGCAGCCTACCCAGCACTGCTAATTAACGAATCTTGCCTCGGCTTGCTGCTCTTTTTGCTGCCCTCGCTCCCATGCTGGGTAAATACCAGGGACACGGCTCGCTCTGTAATTCAAAGGCTTCCTTTGAATTGCGGGCGCTGCTTACGGGTGCGCGGTGAATGCATTCCGGTCGCCGCAGAGAGCCAGACATTGCGGAATTGGCACCCTAGAATCCTAGAATAGAAAGGGACCTCGAGAGGCCATCGAGTCCAGTCCCCGGCCCTCACGGCAGGACCAAGCACCATCTAGATCAGTGGTTCTTAGCCTCACTGCAGCCTGCACCCCTTTGGCTCTCAAAATATGTTCTCGCACCCCTTATTAAAAATCGTTGAAGTAGGTCAGTGCTTTAAACCTAAGCTATATCATCAAAATCTAGCATGTCTCACACCCCCAGAAAGAGCATCTCGCACCCCCAGGGGGTGCGTGCACCCCAGGTTAAGAACCACTGAGATCATCCCTGATATAGATCAGAGCATCCTCTGAAGCTAATGTAGACCTGATATAGACTATATATGGTCCATATAGACCTGATATAGACCTGATGATATTGACCAGACCTGATATACATCCCAGAGCAGGAGTGTGAGGGGGCAGCTGTCCAGGCCTCCAGAGCAAGGGGAGAGTAATGGGCTGGTGGATCCAAAGGTAGCCATTAAGGATGTAAAATCCCATTTAATCGGTTAGCCAGTTACATTTTCACATCCCTAGTAGCAATCCCTCCGTGGCGTGGCGGCTCCCTGTCTCCCATGGCTCCT